AGTGTCCCTGTGTGGGGAGGTCACCTAATCATCTTAGCCTTGTTCCTTCCCAGGTGTCTGTGTTTGGGAAGCCATATGGACTGCTCTTGCCCGGCTCTTTTCCTCGTGTTCAGAACCTGCCAAGCTTCTTACACCTGTAAACTAACACTTTGCTCCAGTTTTTAAAATTCTTCACCATCACACTCAGATGCTGTTTGAGCACCACTGCTTCTCCATTCTGCTCGGTGACACCAACCACCTAGGACGACGCAGTTTGGTGAGGCCACTGAGGCATTTGCTTTTCCCTTCATGTTTGATTCATTTTGTGCCTCGATATCTCTACTTTTCCATGACCTGTCTCACTGATCTTCATATCTGGCACCTCGACTTGTTCCCAGCCATGAACTAGTCATTTCAGATACTGAATTTCCCAAGACTTAAGGTATTACTCTTGTTTAATTTTATTTTAGTCTAGTGATTTCCAGTTCTCTAGTAAAGTTGTCAAACTTCGTTTTCCGTTAAAAAATTGAATTCCAAAGAAAGTACATTTTTCCCTTTTCCAGTGAGAAAATGAGGAGGCTGCCTAGCTCAGTCTACTCAGGAGCAGAGGGAGCACTGGCTGTTTTGCACGCTTCCTGAAGCTTATTGCACCCTGGTTACTTCTTTTCTGGGAGTAAAACTTTTTGCATAGCTTGGGTTTTGTCAACTTGACACCCCTTAGACTATTTGACAAGAGGAGATCTCAGTTGATGAATTGCCTCTATTAGGTTGGCCTGTGAGCATATCCGTGCGGAATTTTCTTGATTGCTGGTTAGTGTGGGAAGGCCCAGCTCTCTGTGGGCAATCCTGTCCCTGGGCAGGTAGCTTTGGGCTAGATAAGAAAGGAAGCTAAACAAGTCAGAAAGCATGTTCCTGCCCAGTGTCTGCTATGTCCCTGCCTGCGGGTCCCTGCCTTGACTTCCCTGAGCCGTAGACTGTGATCTGGAGCTACAACCTGCACAAATACTTCCCCTTCTCCAAGTTGCTTCTAGTCAGTGTTATTTCAAAGCAACAGAGAAGCAAACCGGGAAGTTTCAAGACTCTGAACTGTGACTTGAACCTCCATGTCACTAGGAAGAACCTAGATTCCAGGACCTATTCCTCTTTCTCAGCACGATATGTGCAATCCTTGCAGCTCAGATTGCAAGCTCTCCTAGCCGCCAGGAGTCAAGGAATACCACGAAGTCACTGTAAGTATAGCAACTTACAGCTATTGTTCCAGGACAAAGTTTCCACAGTGTAACAACTCTGCCCCAGCAGAGAAGGGTTTCATGGCTAAAGTGTTACAGCTCTGCTTAGGTCCCCCAGAGTGCCACAGCTGTGCCCCAGCAGGGGAAGGTTTCCCCAGCAAAAGTGTTACCCTTCTGCTCTGTTCTCTTCTCTGGTCCAGAGAACGCAGTTACTTCTCTGTTCCACTTGCAACAGAAGGTCATCATCCAAACCTTATTCAAGAGATTTGTTGGAAGGGGGAGAATTCAGGAGAGTGGCTGCCTCTAGGGTGAGGCAGCAGCAAACTGATCAGGGTATAGAGTTTATCTAGGGTTTTTGGTGGGGTGCAGACCTTTCCAGAGTGGCTTGGAATTGGTGAATTTTTGTGCTCAGGGGTTCATGGGATTCCATGCAGAGGGATTAGCTGGGTTTTGTGCTCAGGGACCTCAGGGATTGGTAGGATTTCAATCACTTTTCCCAAGTCTTGGTCAGAGTGTTTTTTCCTCAACCCTTTTCACCCTGCAATATGACTAAAGAAAATGTTGCTTAAATGTATTATTCTTAGATTTTTAACCTGCTTCTCCATAGATAGAACTTCAGAATATTACATGCTGCTTGAGAAGAAAACTGAACTTTGTTCAAAGTTCCCAAGCTTCTAAGTTTTTACTGAAGCACTCCCATATGATCTCTCTCTCTCTCTCTCTCTCTCTCTCTCTCTCTCTCTCTCTCTCTCTCTCACACACACACACACACACACACACACACACACACTTCTCTTTCTATCTGAACTGAGATGGATTCTCAGTCTCTCTTTCTTGTCCATAATGGTTTAAAGAAACCACAGGGAAAATTCATCAGCTTATTCTTAGCTTTTCTCTCTGGCTGCTCAAGAGTTTCCACTCCCCCTCTAGTCCTCCTCCTATTCCTCCCTCCTCTTCCTGCTCTTCCTTCTCTTCTTTCTTCTCCTCCTCCTCCCCCTCTTCTTCCTCCCCCTCTTCTTCCTTCCCCTCTTTATCCTCCTCCTCCTCCTCTTCCTGTTCCTGTCTCCTCCCCCTCTTATTCTGCCTGTATATCATCTTCTTCCTCCTCATCCTCCTCCTTTTTCATCTTCCTCCTCCCTCTTTATGATGCTGGGTATGATACCCAGACCTCACAAATGCTAGGTAGTTGCTTTACCACTGATCTATTTTCCCATCCTAAATCCTCCGAACAAATTATTTTTTATCATTTTCATCTTGATATGTTGCATGCTCTTGCAGAAACATTGATCTGTTTGTAGAGCCTTACCCTACAAATACTCTTAATAGCACATTCTTTTTCTTTCTGATATATGGGTGTTCCCATATTTTCCCACTTTATTGCTTTGCTGAATTTTTTCGAATTACCCAACCTGTTTTAGATATCCATCGGTTGTCTAAACAATACTATGACAGTCCAACCTGCAAACGTACAGAAATCTAGGCCTTTTTTTTTAAATCCAGAAACTTTCACATTTATAAAGAATCTTCTCTGAGGTCAAGGTAATCCTTAGGATATTTTAGATCTATATTGTTCCTTTGAAGCTTTAAAAAGTTGAGGTCACAGCCTTAGCTGAAGATTTGGTTTGGTCTATCAAAGCCTCCCTTCCATTGTACATGCCCAGCTTTCCACTCAGCCCTTGCCAGTTCTGTGAAGCCAGGTCTTTCTGAATCCTGGAAACAGTCCAGCACTGGGAAAGGAGAAAAGGAGCCTGGGCTGTGGAGTCTATTCCTCTCCCTTCAAGAGACCTTAAAGATAGTCCCTGTTCCCATATTCTTACGTCACATATGGGAAATACAGAACTCAGAGAGCTCTTGCCCAAATTGCATAACTAGTAATAATCAGCAAATTATGAATCTCCACACACAATCCACCCCCTAGATGCCACACACCAATCCAGATCAAGTACAGCTTTCACCCTGGGTTGTTCTCTGAGAATGTTATGAAGAGAAGGGGCATAAGAGGCTATTCAGGTCTTTCCTACAGCTATCTCACACTGAAAAACAGTCCATCTGTATGGTGAGACCACTCAGAAATGTCAATTTTAAAGATACCATTTCTCTATCTTAATTAACGTAGCCATTTTAGGGTTGGCAAGAGACTTTACTCTAGAGGGGTTCCCAGGTGTCCAAGGAGATGTCCCCAGCTTGTTCCTTGGGCAACTGAAGAGAGGGCGCCTGAACTGGCCTTATCCTATAGCCACACTGATGAATATCTTGCATATCACCATAGAACCTTCATCTGGCGATGGATGGAGATAGAGACAGAGACCCACATTAGAGCACTGGACTGAGCTCCCAAGGTCCAAATGAGGAGCAGTAGGAGGGAGAACATGACCAAGGAAATCAGGACCGTGAGGGGTTCACCCACCCACTGAGATGGTAAGAGTGATCTAATGGGAGCTCACCAAGGCCAGCTGGACTGGGACTCAGGGAGCATGTGATCAAACCGGACTCTCTGAATGTGGCTGACAATGAGGGCTGACTGAGAAGCCAAAGACAATGGCACTGGGTTCTGATTCTACTGCATGGACTGACTTTGTGGGAGCCTGGTTTGTTTGGATGCTCACCTTCCTAGTCCTGGATGGAGGGGGGAGGACCTTGGACTTCCCACAGGGCAGGGAACCCTGACTACTCTTTGGACTGGAGAGGAAGGGGGAGGGAAGAGGGGAAGGAAAATGGGAGGAGGTGGAAATTTTTAATAATAATAATAATAATAAATAAAACAACAGATAAAAAGAAAAAGAAAGAGAAAAGGATACCATTTCCCTCTAAGTTTTCAAGTCACCAGAGAATCCCTTGAAACAGGAAGCACCCAGGCAGCTGGCACAGGGTTACTTTTGGCACAAGGTTATGAGTGCCACCAAGTCGGGCACGTGTACCATGAAGCCTTTGTTCTCTAAAGGAAGAGCTCTGGAGGAGCTGAGAATCCTCCCCGGTGTGGAGAGAAGAGAGTTGGGGAAGGAAACAGCGCTCCGCTCCTGTGGAGGAATACCCCCGAGAGGAGAAAAGTCTTCCAGTCACCTTCTTTCATTTTGAGGGAGTCACCAGGGTTTCATTTTGAGGGAGGAGGTCTGAAGAGTTCTTTGAAGGCAGAGATCTACTTTCACTGGTCAGTGTTTCACACTCGGCAATAGCTTCTGTTGTTATTTTAAACTGTGTAGACCTAGACAATGTGAATGATGTGGATATGGCTTATAATAGCAATACTATACACACATATGGTCTATAATAGTAAACCACATTTCTCAACTATTGAGAGTTATCATGCTGACTGTTCTAAGTGATTTGCATAAATTTTAAATCTACCATTCCAATGACATTTGATGACATTATTCCCATTATCAGGGAAAAACATAAAATTAAGTTCCTTGTCCAAACTCACACAACTACTAAAATCTAAATGAGGTCAGAAAAGCAGTGGTACATGCTCCTTTAATTTCTTACTTTCTATCTTGTAGTTAAATCTGTGTATGACTCTTGGTACAGAGAGAAAGGTGACAATAGAAGGCTGACAAACTGTAGCCTGCCATCATTTGAAATTGCCGAGGCACCAGTGAGAGTTGGCGGTGGTACTCTGTGCACACTGCACCACCTCCATCTTTACTACATCCGGAGATCCAAATAGCAGTTATAAATTACAGAAACTTTTTTTCGCAATTCAAAAGAGAGAATGTGGTCCTGCCATTTGAACTCATGGGGCAGTGACTCTGTTCACACAGCTGTAGAGGCCCCACCCCACATTAGCCTTTGGAAGTTGGCCCATCTGCTCAATGACTCTGGGCCTAATTTGCATTCCCAAGGTTCATCCCAACTACCCTCCAGCTGAATCACACTCTGGTAGCCTTACTGCTATGGGATTACAAGGACTACCCTACCTCCATGATGTCAGGCCCTGGTACGGACTCTCTACAGTTTCTACTACCAAGCAAATCCTCTTCTTAGGATGTACAGTTCACATGGGCATGCTTTGAGATCCAGATGAAAGTAGATTTGCTCGATGCATTTTATATCATCCCAGGGCTGGATAGAAATGCACATGAAGAGCCAAGAAGCTGAACAATGACATGGGAAGAGACAAGATCAAGTCCATTTCCTGGTTCATAAATAGGCACATCTCCACTGGGCCCTCACATGGAGCATGGCAGCTTTCTGAAGCATCTTTTAAAATGGCACTCATTCCATCGATGAAGGAGGACTTTGTTCTGATGGTTTTAATGATATCTTTGTAATGTTACAGCAATGATCAGATTCTGGAGGAACATAAACACCAAGTCATCACAGATATGCAGCCTGCTTTCTCTGTACCTGGCAAATGCAGACTTCAAAGAGTGCAGGTTCTTCATTCCCCTGCTGCCGTATCTAAAGTCCTGGGTGAAGGAAATGAGAGCATGGGCACTTAGTGTATGCTGGAGGGCAAAGGTTTATCATAGATATGAAGGAGAGGATAGCCAGAGGCTCCTGGGAGGGCCTGGACTGAACTAGCCCATGAGAAGTGGGGAGAGGACAAGAAAGGAAAAGAAACGGAGAGGAGGGAGGGCAGGTGAATCAGAAGAGGAGACGAAGACCAAGAGGCCGAGAGTGGAGTCAAGAGGCCAACAGAGCCTATAGCCAAAATGGCTGGCCTGTCCATGAAAGAGAAGCTGGAGAAAGGGAAACAAAACCTCTGGGCTGGAGAGAAGTGCTGAGTGGAGCCACAGGTACTGAACTGTACTTGTCCAGACTTACTTGGGACCTGACATTAGAAAAATAAGTCTTTCCTTGAATTTACATTAATCCACCATCATCTATCTGCCATTTGGCTATTATCCCATAGTGACATAAAAATCGTGAATATCTAAGCAGTGATGATTTCTTTTTCACTGAAAATGAAAATCAATATAAAGACTAGGAGGCGAAACTATGAGATTAATCACTAACCACAAGTTCACATGGTCTGAATCTCAGTTCTATCTGAGAGTAGTGTGATTCTAGGCATGTCATCCCCGATAAGATCTTTATATTCTTCAGTAAGAATATAGCTGAATAGCAGGCCTCCTTTATTCCTGATGAAGATCAGAGTCACAGAGAATGTAAAAAGATGGTTGAGGGCAGGTACCATCAGCAGGAAGGACGGATTGATAGCCCTGAGTACCTAGAATAGAAAGAGGGATGCACTGAAACTAGATTTCACAGGAAGGAGACTTTATACTGAGTTTGTGGTACATGCCTGTTATTCTGGCACTTAGGTGGCTTAGGCAGAAGGATAGTAATTTTAAGGCTAGCCTGGACCACAAAACAAATTTCAAATTGGGCTGGACTTTAGAGAAACACCCCATTCCCCCAAAATCAAATAAAAACAAAGGACAAGGGAATTTTAAAGGCCCATTATCAGCTTATAGAGCTGATATTAATGTCCTCCCTTGAGGAGATACGTTCAGGAGGCAACAATTCTTACAAGGCACCAGGATCCTCATGCTCAGATCACAACTATATTTAACTAAACTAGGGAGGAATTTTGGGCTGAAAGTGCTAAACAAGCAAAGAAAGGTTGTCTTGGAATAATCAAACTACCTTCTTTGAAAGTAACATGGAGGGAGAGACTGATTCCATAGGGGCAGAAAGTAGGTTGCCTTAAGGAAAAGGCGGCAGGACGGCCTCCCCGCTGAGGTTCCCTGTACAGCGCGCCATGCCGCTCCGGAAGTGGTAGAGCCAGGCGAGCACACTGGAAAATGGCTCCTCCTAATGAAGGGAACACTCCAGTGATAACTTGGGTATTATTTTAATCTCCCCTTCTGTTTCTGTGATTGTAATTGTCCTCACTACGCCTGGAGAGTAACCGCAGCCCGGGGCTGGGAGCTGGACTGCAGAGCCTATAAGATGATAGAAATCGCCATTTAAAGTCATTAAGTGTTGAAGTCAGTTACTACGCAGTAGTCGATAACGGTCATACCCCAGAAGATGATTTCCGTGCCTGTGGGAAGTTCTCAGGCCCACGCGCACCTCAGCTGGGGATCCCAGTGACGGCAGTCCATCAATCACAGCTATCTCACCTGTGCAAGTCACTCAGACTGAGGGTCTGTCTGTCTATGAAGTCCCTGTTGGGGGCCCTGATACCCAGGGCTCTAATCTCTTGCTGGGTCATCCATTATATACTACTTCTTCTTCTTACTCTCTTCACTCCTCCACTTAGCTACACCACTGGCTCTCTGCTAAATCACCTTTGAAAGCTATTTCTACAGGTTATAGTGGATCTACTTTATGTTTCTCGACTTCCAAATTGCTCTTGTCCCAGCTCACAAAGGAGAGATACATCATGTAGTTTCATATGTATTTATATCATTTCTTCTTTTCTTTTAAAATTTTTCTTTACCTACCTACTCATTTGGGTTCAATTCACCTATTTCAGAAAGGTAGTCCTTGAAGGATGGGTGAATTGGAACTATGCTTGCCAAAATTTTTTCTTTCTCCTTTGAGATCATAATATTTTGTAACAAATGAATACTTTGATAATAACTTGGATATTAATCTAATGGCCTCTTCTGTTTCTACTTCTGTTTCTAAGTTTTTAATTGCTATGGTTGCAATTCTTTTCTTCCCATGCACAGTTGACAAGGAATAATAACAACAACCAAATACTCGCTGTAACAAAAGTATTACAAAACAGATGTAGAAAAACATATCCTTAAAGCATTTCTACATCCCTAGTGATAAACGTAGACCACTGGGGCCTTATTTATCTAATTATAGCATGTTTTGGCCTGTAGTCTTGAAGAACAATTTTTCTAATCTTCAACACATAAAGAAAGAAAAAAATTAGGGAAGCCAGAACACTCAAAGTTATTATTCCAACTCAGGGGCTAATTAGTTTGTAACCAGCTGGGATAATTAATTTTCTTGTTAAGATACAAAAACATCATTGCGCTGTGTTATTGGAAGACTAAACGGATGCTGCTCATGAAGCAGTGCACATGGAAGACAGTACAGATGCAGTGCCACATTCAACCCAGAGGTGACATGTGATGGGCGTCAGGCACAGTGGAACCTCAGTTCCCAGCTCATCACTTTCATCCTCATTTATAAAAATAGGATCCAGTAGCCCTCCTGGAGCCAGGGTCTGTGTTGATGTCCTTGGTTCCTGTTGCCATTGAGGGCAATGCTGATTCCAGTGGTCTGAGCTGCTACCTAGAGCCATGTTGGTGTCCAGGGACAATGTCATCACTAGGGCTGTGCCATCTGGGTGGCCTGAGCTGCCACCTGGGGCCATGGTGACAACCAGACCTGGGCTGCTTCTGAGGACCATGTCTGGGTCCATGGCTATACTGCAGTTGAGGTCTTTGTTGAAGTCTGTGGCCCATATTGCCACCAAAGGCCATATGGAGCATGGGGTCTAGGCTTCAGCCTGTGACCCTGTAGTGTCTGGGAGTCATGCTGCTGCCAGAGCCATCCTGATCTGAGTGACTGTGGTGTCCACCTAGAGCCAGGATGTTGATCAGGCAAACCTGCTGTCTGGGGCTATGTCTGAGTCAATGGTCCAGTTACTCCTGGGGTTTGTGTTGAAGTCTGTGGCCCAGGCTGCTATTGGGGCCCACACGGAGGCTGAGATCTCAGCTGCAGCCTGTGGTCTTTTGGAGTCTCGGGGCCATCCCATAGCTGGGGCCATACCGATCTGGGTAGTCTGTGCTGCCACCTGGGGCCATGGTATCATATGGGCCAAGGTTGCTGCAGAGGACCATATCTGAACCCAAAGTCCTATTTAAGTGAAGGTCTGGATTGGGGTATATGGCTCTTGTTACCACCGAGGGCTATGAGGATGCCCAGGGTCAGGCCAACTACCTGAGGCCAGGTTAGTATCCAAAGACCATGATGCAGCTGGAGCCACGCAGATCTGAGTGACTTGTACTGCTATCCAATGCCATGGTGACATCAGGGTCAGTCTGCGGCTGAGGATCTTGTCTGGGTCCATGCCCCTACTGCAGCCAGTGTCTGCGTTGATGTACGAGGCTCCCATTACCATAGAAGGCTGTGCAGACACCTGAGGTCTGAGGCTCATGGTGGTGTCCAAAGGCCATACTACTGCTGGGAACTGGGCCGATCTGAGAGGCCTGCACTGCTGCCTGGGGCAATGGTGACATCTATACCCGGCTGCTGCTGTGGACTGTGTCTGGGTCCATGGTCCTACAGCAGCTGGGGTCTGTGCTGAAGTCCGAGTCCCATATTGCCACCAAAGGTCGCAAAGAAGTCCAGGGTTGGGTCCTCAACCTGAGACTGAGGTGGTGTCCAGAGGCCATGCTGCTGCCAGAACCACCCCAACCTGAGTGGCCAGTGTTTCCACCCAGATCCACTGTCATCTGGACCTAAGCTGTGGCTGAGGGCCTTGTCTGGGTCGGTGGTCTAGCTGCAGCTGGGGTCTGTGTTGATGTCTATGGCCTGTGTCACATCAGGGGGTCATGGGAACCATGTGAGAAGCAATCAGAGAACCATACTCAGCAGGCCCCACGCTTCACTGGCCCAGGGAAAACTGGCCTTGCTCCTGTCTGGACACTGATGTACCAAGAGAGCTGGTCCAGACTCTCACAGGAGATTGGGCCCTGCGCTCAAGAGAGATGGCCCCACTCCTCACCACAGGCAAGGGTGAACCAACCCTGAGGGGAGGGGTGTAAGGAAACTGACTCTGCCCCCTTGCCTGAGGTGAGTGGCCCCAGTGGTTTGGACTGACAGCTCAGCTACTACCCAGGCCCACAGCCAGTCCTTGGGTTGGCCCACCCTAACATCAACCTTTAGAACCTTCTGGAGCTCCTTAAAGGACTGGTCCTGTCGAACAATACCCACAGGATCTCCATGACTCAGGGCAGCTGCAGGATATCCCAGAGGAGTTCTGGTGAGGATCCAGTGATGACGGTGTACCAGAAACCAGAGGCCTTGAACCAGACTCATTGCAATGAACATTTGCTAGTAAAAATGATTGGAGAAAAGGGTGTCCCATGTGACACTGAGGCCCCAGGGACACCAGGAGAATGAAGAAGTGTTGAAGAGTTGGGAAAGGAGAGCCAAGAAGTTTGGATTTTGTTTGTTTGTTTGGGGTTTTGTTTTGTTTTGTTCTTGTTTTCTTTCATTTGCTTTCTTGCTTTCTTTGTTTTGTTTTGAATTGATTTTTTTAAACTTTTCTTTTGTGGGACCACTGCAGAGGTGAGGGGAGGATATGGAGGGACTGGGAGGCGAACAGAATTAGGGTACATGATGTGATACTCCCAAAGAATCAATAAAGAAGTTAAATTTTAAAAAAAATGAATCCCTGCTCAAACAAATCTATGCTGAGTGCAATTGTAACCAACAGGCAAAGGATTTGTTTCCTGACATGTTAATTTGACATTTATCAAAACAGAGGTTCAACAGTCACATAAACTAGAACAGATTCTTAATCCATAAACCATTATAAAATAGAATTGTGCAAGTACTGAAGGAACTGACTGAATACATGTGCAAAACATAGAAGAAAATTCTAGAAGCTGAAACAAGGAGGCAGACAAGCTACAGCCCTTGGGATCCAGAAAAAGATAGAAGAGAAATTGCCTGGTTTCTTAGGCTTCCATGTTGCCTAATACATATATTGAGAGCTGGGGAGACTGGAAATCCCAAGGACTGATGGGAGAGGATGGAACAAGGAGAAAACGCCTTCCCTGGAGCCCAGTGACAAAATGGTCACTAGACAGGAAATAGCAGTCCTCTTCCCATACAATGAGATGAGAAATTCAGGATTTGACACCATTCAGGAACTCACCAGCACAATCCGACAGGGGCACCTAGAGTTTACAGTCACCGAGCTACAGGATGGTTTCGTAAGTGCCCTGCTAGAGTGCTGTCTGAGAAGACTAAAGGAAGCCTGGGACTTCCCTGTGCACTTGGTAGTAAAAAAACATATCAAACCCCATGTATTGGTGGATATGTAGTGCCCTTGTCCTGCCGGTGGATCTCAACAGAGCCCTGGCGGGAATCTTAATTTCTTCTGAGAAGCAGGGGTAATATGGAGCGTCCACCCAAGTGCTATCTGTGGAGGCTGAGTGGGGAAGATGCACTTCCTGGTCTAGCAGTAATGAGTGACACCACACACCCTCTGGCAGTGCAGGTTCAAAGAGGGCCAGGGACTCTTGGCTGCATGGTAACCCCCACTCCTCATTCACTGCTGAAATCCTAAGACCAGGACCTTTAACTGGCACCTTTACCACATGGGGAAGCAATAAATAAAGGTGGATTTCCAAAACCATCTAGAAGAAAAGGAACACACATTTTTCAAATGGTAAAAGAGAAAACAAAAACTACCCTCAAAACAACAAAAACCCCGTTTTACCTCAAATTCTGTTTCCAGCCAAAACAAAAAAGTAAAAGTTTTGGAGTTAACAGGAAATCAAGATGATTTCACCACAAAAATAACTGAGAAAATGTGTGACAGTGAGCCATTCAGAATGGCTAGAGAGAGGCTTAAGGCTGAAGACTTTGCAGAGCCTTTAAGAGTTCATACCGCTCCCAAGTTCCATTCCCAGCTCCCAGATAAAGAAGCCTCCCAACTACCTATCTCTTTAGTTCCAGGGATCTGATGCCTTTGGCCTCCACAGGCACCTGTACTCACTTGTACAAACACCCCACCCAGGCACAGGCACACACACAAAAGAAACAATAAAGTTAAGGGCTGGAGAGATGGCTCAGAAGCTGGAAGCTTTGGGCTGCTCTCCTAGAAGACCTGGGTTCAATCTGCATCAACCACATGGCGGTTCACAACCCTCTATACGTCCAGATCCTGGGAATCCAGTGCCCTCCTCTGGCCTCCAGGGCACTGCACACACTACTTTCCTTCTT